ACTATTGAAGATGCTCTAATGATTAGGTTTGTTTGTCTTATGTTCTGCAATAGATATAAACTATGATTTTTAAATTTGTCTTTAATAATGTAACGGGAGTTGAATTTTAAGCGACTGATTTTTAAATTAATTAATAACTGATGTAGAATGGTCCATATCAAATTTGAGTAAATTTAAAGGCAAAAAAGCTTTTTCTATTCAATAATTATATGCTATTAGTATTTCTAAAATTTGCCTATAAACAAGGAAATTGTAAAAAATGTTAAGAATGTAAGATAGGAGGGTTTGTAGAGATGTAGGTGAGATAGAAATAGAGCAGATGCGTCGGAGTGTGAACAAGAAAACATACATGTTTTAGGGATAATTTTAGAGCTCGAGTATTGGTCAAGTTTTTGAATTTTGAGTTTTGAATTTTTTATTTTTTTGTATTAGTTAAGATATACAGTGAATTTATATGGAATTACATAATTTTATATGAAATTTTATATAAAAATTATATTAAATAAAATTCACAAAAATCCACTTGGTTAAGGATGGGGAATGCTATCTTTCTACCGGTGGCTCTATTCCCACACCATCTTATATCTCAGTTCATATCATTTTATTGTTCAAAAATTAATTATTCGGATATCAACTTTTAAAATAAAAGCACTATTTGGTATTAATTGATATCCAAATAATTATTTCTTATTTGAAAGTTGATATCCAAGTCCGAATGACACAAATGAAGTGAATTGAGACAAAAACGGTACCTGGGGTTTTTAAATTGAAAAAGAATCAAAAGCAAATATCTTATGGGTAATATTACGGTACAGACACCTCAAATGGTGTTGTACCATATGCATATTTATTATACATTTTTATAATGAGAAATGCCTGAGAGCTCGAGAATTGAGACAAAAACGGTACCTGGGGTTTTTAAATTGAAAAAGAATCAAAAGCAAATATCTTATGGGTAATATTACGGTACAGACGCCTCAAATGGTGTTGTACCATATGCATATTTATTATACATTTTTATAATATATGTTATATATTTTTATAATAAATATTACAATTTTTTTTGATAAAGTTATGATAATTTGTAATTTGAAAATGGAGTCACGCATTTTGTAATTATTTTAAGAATTTTTGTAGTAATGTTAGAAAAAATATGTAACATTATCATAAAAGTATTTAACGGTATCACAAAATGTATAATTTTATTTTTAACAAAAAAATTAAATAATATTTAATATAAAAATACATATATACTACAAATGTACATAACAATTACATATAGTATACATCCTTTTGAAAAGTTTGTACCATAAACTTACTGTTGGGCCCATGAGGCCCACTATGGTTCCCATTTCAATAATCCGAACCGTTCAATGTGTAGAACTCGTAGAGTACTATGTGCCTGTTAAAAATCACGTTGATCGGATATCGATAACTATGTACTCAAATCAGTTTTATATAAAAAAAATGGACGGTAAAAAATAAACGGCTTAGAAAAATCTGATTTGATTACATAGCTATTGATATTCGATCAACGTGATTTTTTACAGACATATAGTCCTATTTTGGAAAGTGGATTAAAAGCCACTTCCCGCTCCTACAAAAATGTCAAAAAACAGCTTTTAACTATCTTCCCAAAACATCTCATAGCACTCGACGAGTTCTACGTATTGAACGGTTCAAATTATCAAAATAAAACCTATGATAAACCCCTCTGAATCCAACAATACCCTTCAATCCGATCACGAGAAAAGCTACTCCTCTTGTATTTCAAGGGTAGATGGTACACATCATTTGTTTACACGAAATTGTATTCTGAGAAGGAGTTCGGATCCTCTCCAGCCTCTCCTTCCGGCCGTTCGTCCAGACGACGGCTCAAATAGAGCCACGGCACCTATAAAGAAATAAACGGCTCAGATTTATTTCTTTAAATAAAAAAATTTCAAAACACACCTACACCGAATCATTCCCTTTTCCACCCACTCCTCCTCTTCCTCACTGCACGCAGACGTCACGTCACGTCACATCCCTCCTTCCCTCTATCTATCTCTCTCTCTCATTTCTAATAAAAAATTTAAAAAATTATTTCAATCTTTTTCCATTTTATTTTCATAATATATATATATATGATTTTTAATATAAAATTTTAATTTTTATAACATTAATATCATTAAAAATATACCTTTAAAATGAGACTAATATTAAATATATTTAATAAAAATTTAAAATAAATAAAAAGTAATTATGATGTTTAGTTATGCTTTCAAATTATTATTTTTTAAATATAAAAATTAATTTGATAAAATAAACACACAAAAATCATGTATTTTTGAAATTCTCAAAAACAATCTTCATTCTAAAAAAATGAAAATAATGACTTTTAATTTAATTTTATTAACCAAACGAGTTTATAATTTTTTTAAAGGAAATAAAAAACATTCTATATTTGATTTACACCTATGCATAGATTGAATTTGTGTCTTAAAAAAAAAAATTACATCTATGCACAGAAGTCATTATTTTCATATATTTTTTTTGAAATGAAGATTATTTTTGAGAATTTCAAAAATATATAATTTTTGTGTGTTTATTTTCATCAAATTAATTTTTATATTTTAAAAATAATAATTTAAAAGCATAACTAAACATAGTAATTACGTTTTATTTATTTTAAATTTTTACTAAATATATTTAATATATGTCTTATTTTAAAAGTATATTTTCAATGATATTATTTTTATAAAAATTAAATATATATATATATATTATGAAAACAAAATGAAAAAGATTAAAATAATTTTTTTTATATTTTTTTATTAAAATGTGATAGGGAGAGAGTGTGTGATTCTAATTGTTTTTGTTAGAAATGCGATATATATATATATATATAGAGAGAGAGAGAAAGTTTACGCGTTGTGGTGTGTGTCAGTGAAAAAGGGACGGAGAGTGAGAATGTGTGTGTGCTGTGAGTGTGTATGTGTCAGTGGATGTTTATTGTTTTTGTTTAAAAAAATAAATTTGAGTTGTTTATTACTTTATAGGTGACGTGGTTTCATCTGAGCCGTCGCCCCGAAGAACAGCCGGACAGAAAGGCTTGAGAGGATTTGTACTCTTCGAGAAGGGCACGTCAAATGTGTCTCCTCTACCTACCAGTTTTCAAGTAATGTGATCCTTTTCTTTTGTCTTTTTGTTTTTTTCCACTACAATATACACAAACACAAAAATTTTCAAAAAATATATATACCCTTAACAGGGAAAATTTGTGAAAAATATACCATAAAGAGTATAAAGTATTAGATCACAAGAAAATTCTTATTTGGTGTTAAAGATACACTCGAAAAGTTGTCGAAAAATTTCAGTCATGCTAGAAAAGTCACTGGAAAATTAGTCAAAAAAGTCACTATAAAAGTCGTTGATGACAGTGGCAGTAGGTGGTAGTGAAGTAGAGAAATGTGTGATATTTAACAGATAAGTTATTTGGTGAATTTCAATCAATAGAAAAATAGGCTTGATAAATTTCAACAGATAGACAAATTGAGTAATTTTAAGAGATAGAGTGATTTCAAGAAATAGACAAATTGGTTGATTTCAAATAATTGTACTTTTGAACAAATTATATTTTTTTAACCTAAATAGATTAGAGCTTGGGCCTAATGGCCCAAAAAATTTAAAAATTTAAAAATGATCTATGGCCTAAGTATCCAATATAATATGTATAAAAGGATATAAGAAAATGCATAGGACTCCAGTGGGTGCTGGGGTCCCTTTTGATTGGTTCAAAAAAATAATTTTTTTTTTTTTTCTCTTCCATTGCCAGCCCCCACGTAGAGGTGGGGTGCTGGGGTCTGTCTAGCTGGGGGTCTCCAGCAAGACCCAAGGATATAATAGCGACATTGAAATTTATAATTTTAAAATAGTATTGCTATTTCAATACTATTTGATTAAAAAAATATTATCACCAGATCATTCTATCTCCATTTACAAATTGAAACATGTAAAAAATTACACAACCTTGTTTGATTTCATTTTTAAAAATTATTTTATTTTCATATAGTTTTCTCAATAGCGAACTTTTCAAAATTCAGAGGATTTTTTTAAAAAACTTTTTACAAGCACATAATTTACATGCACTTTTTGTTTAAAAAAATATTGAAAAAGTTTACAAAAGATAAAATAAAAAACCATAACCATTTTTTTCTTCACATTTCAGTGTTTTTTTTTTTTTGTCATTCCCAAATTTCTTCACAAATACTTACTTTTTAGAAGCATCTAAATTAGGTTTATCTATAAGTTCACAAAAAAAAATAATAATAATAAATTACATTTATCTCCATTAAAATTTGAAAAAAAACAAAGTAAGTTCTACAATTTTAACGTAAATACGTTAAATTTTTTTAAAATTTTAATTTACATAACACTTAAACCTCTTTTCAGGAAAAATATGATATTATCATTACTTTTACACTCAAATACATATTATTTTTATTTGTCCTTGGATTTACATATTATCTGCACTAATTTTGATCCCTTCAACTTTTATTAAAAAAAAATCAATATAATTTTATTAAAATTATAAAACTTGGTGAAATTTCGTCAACCCTTGGGAGCGGTCGATATACTTTGGGTATGTTTGGTTTGTATTTGAGAGATGTATTTTAGAGATAAAAAGTACGAAAAGTTGTTTGATTTGATTTTTTTCAAAAGATGTTTTGGAAAATTATTTTGAGAGAGAGTTTTGAAAAAAGCGATTGATTTGATGTGTGTGAGAGAAAGATTTGTTTGGAAAACTTGTTTGGTTTACAAAAGTTTTGAGAAATTTTTTTAAGAAAATTTGTTTGGTTTGATTACTTTTAAAAATTTATTTGTAAAGAAAATTTTTCAAAAATTTTTCAAAAATACAAACCAAACGAGCCCAAAATAGTTTGAGATCCCCCCCCCCCCTCAAAAAAAAACAAAAAACAAAAAATACACCTAGACAAAAAGAGAATATAGATATATATTAAAAAGGTAACCCAATGAAGATGAGGCTACAAATCAAATACTTTAAAGAGGGGGGTTTGCATGGAAGTTCTTCCAAGAGTGAAGCCATGAACAACATGAATTCAGAAGAGTTAGATTACCAGCAGCAATTGCTGCTTCCAGGAGGAGGAGGGGCTCAAGTTTCTGGTTTGTCCTCCTCTGAGGTTGAAGACATCTTGGCACGAAAGCCTGTACCCTTTAAATGGTATTTTCGACTCCTGGGTTGGGAGTCGAAACTTCTATGGCTCCTTTCTGGGGCAACCATTGCTGTCTCTGTCTGCAATTATATGCTCAGTTTTGTTACCCTTACTTTTTCTGGCCAGTTGGGTGCTTTGCAGCTTGCTGGTGCTTCCATTGCTATGGTCGGCACTCAAGGCCTTGCCTACGGGATCATGGTATGTCCTCTGAAAATTTTTATTTACCTTCCATATTTTCCTATATTTTGATTACAATCTTGAGATTAATATATTAGTGATTATATTAGTAGCAGTGGCGGCAACATGTATTATTGATAACATTTAGTCTCAATTTTTATTATTATTTTTTTTTCACATTTCAAAAGTTAATAACGTTTTCAATCCAAATAGGGGCGTTCATACAAAAAATATATTTATGAACAAGAGTTTTTTAAAATAAACCCCACTTATAATTTTTTTCCTCAAAGACTTTAGGCTTGTTTAGTTTGTTTTTGGGAGAGATGTTTTTGAAAAAAAAAATTTAGAAGAGAGTTTAAAATTTTTTTTGGTTTGTTTGGTTGTATATTTTGAAAGTAGTTTTAGAGTTTGGGAGGATTTGATATTTTGTTATAATTGAGTAGATGTGTGTGAGAGAAAAAGTGATTGAGAAGGAGAGAGGGGAGAGAAAAAGTGATTGATTTATGTGTAAGAGAGAAAAAGTGATTTTGAAATTTTTTTGAGAAAAATCTCAAACCAAACAATTTTTTGAAATTTTTTTTTTCTAAAATTCATGTCTAAAACCCAAATCAAACATACCCTTTAATTCTGTGTTTTGTTTATATGTTTTAAAATTTACTATATCCTTAATGAATGTATAATATATAAAAGACACAGGCATGCATACACACTAAAAAGAAGTGCGAGTAAGAATATAAAGAACCTTTAAGGCATGTTTGATTGAGGGGATTAGAGTATGAGATTGAGATTATTAATTTATGGGCTCAATTATCCAATGTTTATTTTAACATTTTAGTTTAGAATTATTAATCTAATTGATAATTAATTCAATAAATTTGTAGGATTATTAATAATAGGGTAGGAGCGAGATTATTAATCCGATGAATATTAATCTAATTAGATAATAAATACCACACTAATTTAATAAAATTATTAATATTTCATTATTAATATTATGAATCAATCATTACCTTACTTTTTGTCATGATGCATAGAATAAGAGAATGAAAAGTCATGCAAAGGTTCATATACTCTTGGCAGTAATATCATGGTTATAGTGGAAAGCTCTTCTCATTAGAAAAAAAATTTAGGTGAGACCTATTACTCTAGGTCTAATTGTTAAAAAAAAAAATTTGCAAGAAAATTATTTTTATATAATATTTCCTTATATGGAGATGAATTGGTATGACCAAAGTATAATCATGATGAAATTGAACATTTAGTGATAAAATTACTATTAATAAAATTTTAATTTACAAAATAAGACTTTTTGGCATGAAAAGTCCATTCATTATTACCTGACATTTTAAAAAAATTTCGTTAAAGATTAATATTATGACATTTTGAAATGACTTTTTAGTGATGATTTTGGTGATGACAGGAATTGATTTTCTAATGTTTTTAGGGGTAGTTTTTTTTAGCTTTTCAGTTTTTTTTTAAAAGTTACATTGTCTTTTTATTTATTTACATAAAAAATTCAAAAAAAAAATAAATTTTTATCATTTTTCTAAAACACCACTTAACAACTTCCATGACAAAATAATCTTCTAATTTTTTTGTAACGAAATCTTTATTTTTAGAAATAAAAGAATGCAAATTTTATAATTTTTATATACAACAGCGCTATATACCCCTAGTGGGGGTCGCGCCCCCAGTGACGTGGCGCGCCCCCACTGGCTGAGAACTTAAAAAAAAAAAAAAAAAAAAAAAAAAAAACAATTTTTTTTTTTGGACCAATCCGGGGCCAACACCTCACTGGGGGTCGACCCCCAGTGGGTGTATGAAGCTTTTTCCTTTTATATATTGTATCGAGTAACAAGGTAGTCGGGAAATTTTTGGAAGTCATTCACAAGTTGTCTAACGCCTGGTTTAGGATACCTAAAAAAATTTAAAAAGTTAAAAAGTTATTTAAAAAATTAAAAAGTTATTACTATTCACAAAAAAAAATATTAAAAAATTAATTTTATACAAAATTAATTTTCAAACTACTCTGACGTCTCCATAGACAGAGCTGACTTTTTAAAAAAATTGTACAGGCGGGGTGCACAAATAACACAGTGTTGTTCGGCCAGTGGGGGCCCATCACGGGTTCCGTTTTAACAATCTGAACTGTTTAATGTATAGAATTCATCGAGTACTATATGTTTGTAAAAAATCACGTTGATCGGATATTGCTAACTCCATAATCAAATCAGTTTTGTATAAAAATGAATGGTGTTATAGTTTACTGTTGAAAAAAAACTATTACGATCAGATAGTTATCAATATCCAATTAATGTGATTTTTTATAAAGATATAGTACTCGACGAGTTTTACACATTGAACGGTTTGAATTAATAAAATGGGACTCGTGGTGGCCCCCACGGACCAAATAGCACCTCCTATTCAATGCCCAAAAAGTAGAGAACCATCTCTTAGCCTATACTCTGCGCAAGTTGTCCCTAATTTATCCCACCGTACAACCTATTCTATCTCAATCTTCTCCAATACACTAATTTATATAATTTTTTAATATACAACTTTTTATAAAAAATTAAAAAATTATCCCAAACAACCATGTTTTTTTTTAACTTTTTAATTTAAAAAATCAAAAAATATACTTATCTAGGACACTCAGAGAACCCCTAAAACTCAGGCCAAGTTTGGGAAGTACAAAATAATCTATCTTTTTTTTCATCACATCACCTCTCTACTTTTCTGCACATCTTTTCATAAAAAAATAAAAAGTACACTTATTTAGGTCATTCCAAATAACCCCTCAATCATATACAATTTTTAGTTTCTTAAACTTTATTCATCCCATTTATTATTATTATTATTATTTTTTTTAATTGAACAGAAACCGTTTTCTATTTTGACAATGACTTCCATCACTTTCATTATAGGTTAAATCGAAGAGTACCCGTTTTCTATTTTGACAGTGACTTCCATGACTATCATTATAGGATGAAAAATACTATACGTTTCAAATTTTTTACTAATTAAATAGTTAAATATTAATTTTTTAGTAATAATTTTAGTGATGATAGAAATTGATTTTCTAATGTTTTTAGTAACAACTGACGAATTAATCTTCTAATTTTTTTGTAACAAAATTTTTATTTTTAGAAATAAAAGAATGAAAATTTTAAACTTTTTATATATTCTATAGAGTAACAAGTAAGGCTGGGGCTTGTCTCCATCCACTATCTGAATTGGAGGGTCTAGTCCAGTCTATTGGGCTCACTTTTGAATTACTTTTCGATAATCTGAATCGTTTATATTTTAAGATTTTTTGAATACTTATCCTTATAAAAAATCACGCCGATCGAATAACGGATACTATGTATTTGGATCATTTTTTATGAACTATAAATTTTTTGGCCGTTCATTTTTTTTTCCGATAAAAGTGATCCGAATACATAATATCCGTTATCCGATCAATGCGATTTTTTATAGAAATAATATACTCAATAAATCTTAAAATGTGAACGATTTTAATTATCAAAAAAAAGTCTAAAAATTAATTTAATGAGTCAAATTGAACTAGACTATTCTAGATTTAGAGTGAAGACAGTCCGGATCCAACAAGTAATTAGTACGGAAACTTTTGGAACTCATTCACAAGTTGTCTAAAACTCAATCATATACAATTTTTTAGTTTCCTAAACTTTATTATCCCATTTATTATTATTATTGTTATTATTAATTGAAGAGAAGCCGTTTTCTACTTTGACAATGACTTCCATTATTATTATTTTTGGTACCTTGGAAAAGTATATGACTTTAATGACTAAAGTAATGACTTCCATTACTTGACATAGAAATTTCATAGCCAAATGCTACCTAAAAGGATAAATCACGTGCTTTGAGTACCAAACAAACTTAACAATTCAAACAACAAACTTAGAGGTTATTCCTGATAAAGTGGGTAGCTGGATACTTCTTAGAACAATTAAAAATATCGGGAAGTGATTGACACCTCTCTCTCCCTCCCCCTCCTGGGTTGATGGTTAGAGAAAAAATAAATAAATAAATAAAAATAACTTGCCAATTACAGTGAGGGTTCGGATCATTTTTTTAAAAATATATGAGAAATTAATATACATTGAAAATATTTAAAATTTAAAATTTTAATTATTAATATTTAAAATTTTTATTACTTTTTGTAAATTTTTTTATCTGACATCCACTATTAAAGTATTCCTTCCTCAATTTTTAAATAATTACTTTTTTAAAATTTATTTAAGTTTTTTTTTACTTAATAAACTATAAACAAAAATTATATTAAATAATATTACATACTCTTAATATATAAAAGTAGTTTAAATAAATTACATGAAACCGCTCCTATATAGGTGAACGAGAATGTGAAGGTTTGATGATTATATCTTTGTATCACTATTTTGTCTTACATATTTCATATTTATTAAAATGCCATAAAAACTAATAAATTTACAATTTTTGGTTTTATTAAATAATGTGTCATGCAATAATGTAATTTCAAAAGTTAAAGCAACATTCACTTCAATTGTATGATAGGTCCCGCATCAATAATTAAAAAAAGTTTGTTAAATTTGGTAGTTTACATTACCCATATCTCATATTATTACATCCCCAAAATCAATTGCTAAAAATTTATGAATCAGAGCATAGTTGAAGAAGTCAGGTAAATTTTTCAATTCCCAATTTAGTTTCTTTTACTTTTTTTTCACCAAGGAGTTTATTTCTTTTCAAAAAGAGATAGTATGCCAAACAATAATATGTTTTGAAATTTGTTGAAAAGATCGTTTTTTTAAGTAAAAAATTAATGTTACATTTCACTAAAATTAGTTTGATGACAAATAAAAATTTTAACTTTATACCCCTTTTTAACCCAAAAAATAAAAATAAAAAAATTTCAGACACAGTCTATAATGACATAGTAACGACAAAGTCCAATTAATACACATTAATGTGTATTTGGAGGGAAAATATTAGATACATACCTAATCTTTGGCATA